GGGACGTCTTGGGCGCAAGCCTTCTCACATAGTGGGGGCTTGCGATATTAGCACCGCCACACTATGCAGTAGTGTGTGTGCGTGTATGCGGCTGCAATGACAGTCACTTGGATCAACCATGTCTTGCCCATCTGTTGAAAGAGACTGGCATACAGATGCTTGTTCACTGATGTTGTCACCATGAGCCCCACGAATGCGTTTACGGATTACGACATGAAAATCTCCTCACATTGGGACGGGAGCCGTACTGAGCGCCTATGTAGTGAGTCGCATAATAGGAGTAGGAGTAGGAGTAGGAGTAGGAGTAGGAGTAGGAGTAGTAGTAGTAGTAGTAGGAGTAGTAGGCGTAGTAGGCGTAGTAAGAGTAGTAGGGGTAGTAGGAGTAGTAGGAGTAGTAGGAGTAGTAGGAGTAGTAGGAGTAGTAGGAGTAGTAGGAGCAGTAGTAGTAGTAGTAGTAGTAGTAGTAGGAGTAGTAGTAGTTGTAGTAGTAGTAGTAGTAGTAGTAGTTTTAGTAGTGGTAGTAGTGGTAGTAGTAGTAGTAGTAATAATGGTAGTGGTGGTGGTAGTGGTTGTGGTAGTGGGAGTGGGAGTGGGAGTGGGAGTGGCAGTGGTAGTGGTCGGTAGCGATGGCGGTAGTGGTGGTGGTACTAGTGGCAATAGTCCTAATAGTGGCAGTACTGGAGGTAGTAGTGGTGGCTCTGTGGCAATAGTAGGAGTAGTAGTAGCAGCAGCGGCGGTAGTGGTAGCAGGAATAGTAGTAGTAGTAGTAGTCGTCGTCGTCGTCGTCGTCGTTGTCGCGCTGGTGTGGTGTGGTGGTGGTGGTGTGGTGGCGTGGTGGTATTAGTGGCAGTGCTTGTGGCAATGGTGGTTGCGGCAGAAGTGGTAGCAGTGGTGCTAGTGGTAGTGGTGGTACGCAAAGGTAGTAATGGTGCTAGTGGTGGGAATAGGTGAGTGGGAATAGAAGGAGTGACCTACAATGTTCAATCTGCTGAGCAGCCGCACTGAATGCTGTGTTCTGGAAGGCTCTGGGATTTGAGCGACACGTATGGCAAAAAGTGTAGTTCTGGCCCCTAAAACCCTGAAGCTTTAACAAAAAACTTGACATGCTGCTGGGGCATGCCTTAAGCCTGGGAGCCCTCCACAAACCCTGGGCCCTCAACCAAAAACCAAAAAAAGGCCGTGAGATGCTGAAGTGACACGCTCCGCCACCCCATTGGATGCTTTCCTCCAGGGACAGAAAAAGGGGTGAATTTGGTGGGCTCTTGCGAAGGAAGCGTTCCCATTTCAGACCAGCCATGGCAGGGTTTACTGTAAGGTTTATTTAGGGTATGGCTCAACACATGAAACAACTGGGAAATTTCGAAAATCCCGGGCAACCTGCTTTCCAAGAAGGGCCCCTTGACTACTGAATGCCAGCACCAAACCCTAAACCCTAAAC